CAAGTATCAGCAACACCGCTTATGGAACGTCTTAATTTTCTCAACTCGAGCGAGCATTTGCATATATGCAGTTGTCCGTGTATATAGAGAACTGCTTGCTGCAACGTTTCTCGGACTCGCCGCTCTAATTACCAGGCTAATTAATTGGCCCTTTTGCAACTCGCTGGCCTCACCCCGTCCCCCACTTATTCGTGATTCTTTTTTTCATTCTTCGAGTCGAGTGCAACCCTCGCGTTTTATGTATGTACACAAAGTCTTGTTGCTTGTTGGCGAGACACAACGCGACTGCGGGCCACGTTTCGAGTCAAAGCAATGATTTATTCGCTCGAAATGAGAAAAAAACTCTTTTTCTCTCTCTCTCTTTCTATCTTGAATATACTATATCGAATTGCTGCTGCATTGGCCTCTTTCTCTCGTAATTTATCGGCTATACCAACCGCTGGTTTTCAGCTTGCATATATATGAGCTAAATCAAATTCGGGCGCGCAGGCAGGATATGCGACGATGCACCGCACGAGCCTGCGCGTGTGCCTTTAATCCAAAAAGTGTCAATGAAAAATATACGACTGCCGGAGCGATTTTCAAACCGAAGCCTGGAATTGAGCAGTAAAGAATGACCTCTGCTCCGCACTCGTGCTGCACCGGGTCCGCGGGAGTCTCGCTTTTGGCAATATTCTTATTAGCTGCCTCGTGCGAGTCTGCGTATGCAAAACAAGCCGATGATGCAGGAGTCTCGAGCGAGCGACAGAGCAAAGGGGCCCGGAGCTAGGAAGCGATCGGACGCTCAAACTCATTAATTCATTCCGCGCTGCATTATTACAGCGTCCAAGACTGATTAGTCAGCGCTCTCCGGCGCGTCCTTATAATGTAAACTTTCGTCGGCGCGCGGCGATCGCTTATATTATACCTACTCGGAATCGTCGAAATTTATAGTCGCTGCATCGCCATTGGACGATTGGCTACCGTAGCCGGACCGCAAGGCAGAAAAAGAGAAAAAAAGTGCATATACCCGTGGCAGAAAAGGGAGTCGAACATTGGAATGCAACGAAATCGAGATGTGCAGGAGGACGATTTATGCTCGAGTTTTCAGGTCGGAAAAGTTGTACTTTAAATACGTAGAGTCGGCAAGTCGGTTGCAATGAGTCGTCGCATGTGCTGCTGCTGCTGCATGCAAGAGGAAAGCAGTACTGCACAGAAGGCAGCTCCAGCTATGTATATGTGTGTACATACACTCAGAGAGCACAGCAGCTGATGAGAGATAGCGAGCTCGCGCGAGGTGCAGGGAGTAACTGGAAAATAAACGGCCCGAGCGAGCGAGCGAGCGAACGAACGAACCAAGGTGATGAGGCGAATAAACAAAGCTCGCGCGCAGTTGCGGACTGTGCTTCGGGGGCGTGGGATGCGCAACGAGCGAAAAAGAGAGAGAGAGAGAAAGAGACTGCAAGAGACTCGAGACAGAAAGAGAAAAAGAGAATAAGAGAGAGAGAAAAAGAGAGTCTTATTCTGTTAATTGCGCGGATTCCGCTGCGATCGCGAGATTCGATTAACCGATTTCTCAGCTTCTGCCTGCACTTGGATTTCTTTTCTCTCGCTTGGCTCTTCCTCTCGCCACTCACGTTCTCGCTCTTTCTCTCCATATGTAGTAGCGAACAATGACGATCGAGTGGGCGCGTCCCTCATCGCGCTGGTCTCGTCCTCGTCGTCTTCGTCGATCGTTCCGAACTCTCTTGTGCCTTTTGCAGCTGCAGCCGAACCCTTATCCCACCTCGATATCTGTCGATTATTATTCTCTCGCTTGTATATTATGCTTGGCGCGGGCTTTTCTGCTGAAGCGATACAGCGAGGAAAATGATGCCTCGTCAGTGATAAAGCTCGGGCTCACACAATAATATACGCACACTTGCAGCCGCTGCCGTTGTTGTTGCAGTTTGGTCAGTTTCCCTGATCGAGCCAGACCTGCACACCTAACGAGCTTTTAAATACGTTCTAATTTGAGTTGCGATCAAGAACGAGAGACAGACAAAATTACCAGTTGCGTTCTCAACTCAGCTATATAATCGTCGTAATTCTCGCTCGCGATTCCGGCGATTTCCCAAAATTTCTCGAAATCGACGTGCCCCGCGCGATTAACCGCCTGTTTTAACTTTTACTTTCGACTGCGCGAGTCGACGACGACAACAATCGACAGCAGCAGCAACACCACCACCATCAAAAGCCCATTGCCAGTGGCAGATTCAACGAGTTTCATGGCCGACGTATTACGAGCATAATTTAAGCGCTTCGGACTCTCGATACGCCGCGTGTTTGTTACGCGCTACATGTGGCGCATGACGCACTGCACGAGGATCTTTGCCGTATAGACGCATGGTCAGCTCACGCCCATTAAGTGCGGCGAGCTTTTCGGTGAAAAGTCGACTGTATACGAGGCTTTTTTGTCGCCCCCGCATCGAGTGCGCGCGGCCAACGAAACGATTCAATTACGGGCACTTTTTAGAAACAATTTCTTTACCTCTCCTTTCATCGTTTAATTATCGCGCGCAGCAGCTTCGCGATCGTGGCGCAAAATTAATTAGTCCGTTATTCGCAGGCACGAGAGTCGAGAAATCGTAATACGCGCGCTTCTTTCTATACGTACACCAGCATTCGGGCAGAAGCAGCGGCAGAAAAAAAACGAGAGAAAGAACAAAATCAAAGAAATGAGATACGAATGGACGAGAAAACGAACGGGCGAGACTGCGCTCGACCATACGTCCGATCGCAATAATTTATTGCCGTTTTCACATTTTGCTTTTGGCCAAAATCAACCGAGCGTTGAGCATTGGCGGTAAGCTATGCACTAAACCGAAGCCATGTTTGCTTTGCATATTTTAATAATCTTGTTCTTCTCATTTTTTTACAATTAAAAATAAATAAAAAAGGTTGTAACTTTGAAAAAAATCAAACTCTATTCGATACTCTCAGAACTAAATCTTATATAGACTTTTACATATACTGTGAAGCGTTTTTCTGAATTTTTGCGTTATTTTTGTATAGCGAGAGGCACACGCTCGCAACCCTTGCAACGCGTAATACGAATTAACACGGAAATTGAGTCTTCATCGCTGAAAAATGTAGGTAGATAAAAATCGAGGTGCGCTCGCGGTAATTCATAGCCTCGCAGCCCCATAATGCCGAGCACGTACGCTTGCAATATATAACTCGCGTACTAACGTGCATTATGACTGCGTATATGTATATGAGGTGTGTGCAGTACCGAAGCTATACATACGCACACTGTACGTGTACGTCGCGGCGCGTCGAGCTCGTTACATTTTACGATATACACGCAGAAAGTCAAAGTATATTATATACCAGCACTGTATACGACGCCTCTACTTGTAAAGTCGATCATGTTGTTGCTCTAACTGATTTTTATTGTCGTTGTTATTGTTTTCATCGTCATGTTTTTGTTTTCGTCTCTCGTCATCGACGCTGTTATTGTTGTTGTTGACGACGAACGACGATCGAGTCGGAGCATGTCTGCCAAAGGTAAATCTAGCGCGGAATGTATTTGCCTCCTTCTTCTGTCTTTTTTGTACTTTTTTTTTGTACGCCGACCGAATATCGCCAAGTCAAAACATAGAAACGAATATACGAGCGACGTATACCAGATTGGTTGCAGGCAGCTTGGAAAGAAATGAAAATGTATATATCATAAATCTAAGCGCGTGTATGCCGCATTTGTTTGGGTGTATATATATACACACATCGTGTATTTATATATGTGGGTATATATGCATACAAATATAAATGTACGGTGTGCCGGTGTATGTGTTCTGACAAAAAAATCAGAACTAATTATTCGACTGTTTGATCGATAAAGTATATGCAGCAGGTATATATATTCGAGCGCTGCGAGAACGCAGAGAGTCAGAGCAGAGCAGGCCAACTATGTGTGTGTTTGAATATATATGGCCGATTCTCTGTGAAATTCAAGAGCCACAAAAAGTCAAGAAAAAAATTTAGTTGGTTTTATGAGCTAAAGGAAGCTCTGTCATTATTTGATATTAAAAGTCCTGATCAAACTCGATAAAAATCTGACGTTCATTTTCCGCTTCGTTGTAGCAAGCTCTCAAAGGGCTCTGATTCTTGATGTAGTTTTCCTTAAAGTTTGGATCATTTATCTTAATTTAAAAAATATTTCAGAGCTAAGAATTATTTAAATATTTCCAATAAGCATGAGTTTAACAAAGAAGCCAACTTCAAGCCTTTGAAAAAAGGTGATAGCTGATTTCTAAAATTCTAATGAAACTTGGGGCCAATTCTGGAATCGAGAACAAGTTTTTCATGTTTTCAAAAAAAATGTAGTTTCAAACATTTTATTTCATAGAGACCTGGTCATGTATACGTTTGCAGCCAAAGCCAACCCCGACTCTATAATGTATATTAAGGCACTACGCGATTGCTATTATAATTTACGTTTATGTATTGTGAAAGGGCCGCATGCATTTGCTTGACAGGGAATCGAACCTGTGTAACTACATACTGCATTATAATATATGCGATATAATGAAAGCTCGAAAATAATTGATTTTGCGGGCTTTTATCGTAAAGCTTGGAATGGTTATTTCTGATGGAGATATTATGTCAAAAGTTTTTTGCTGGCACAATCAAGGCCATACGAGTACGATTTTTCATGGGCATTTTTCAAGCTCACTTTGTGGTGAAACTACTTCTTTAATCATTAATCAGAAAAAAGTCAGTGCGATGACTACGTAATACTTAGCGAAAAGTAGAATGCGTGATGCATCGTTAAATATATTATAAATGAATGTAATGCGATATATATAAGATAATTATATATACAGAGGAGTACAAGATAGGTGGGTTTCTCGCACCCACAGCTCTATACTTATGCTTGAGATTCAAAGCTCCATGTATATTTTAGGCGAGTGAGCTTTTTACCATTACTCGTCTCAATCAATGAATGCTTTAAATATAACAATAACGTTGTTTTTCAGCTTGAAGCCCGTGCAGAAGGAGGGCGTTACAAAGTCAAATCCGTCGAAGCGTCATCGAGAGCGACTGAACGCCGAGCTCGACACGCTGGCATCGCTGCTGCCCTTCGAGCAGAACATCCTCAGCAAGCTCGACCGCCTCAGTATTCTCAGGCTGAGCGTCAGCTATCTCCGTACCAAGAGCTACTTCCACGGTAAGATATAATAATGTACTTGTATATGATGCAGTAATGAACTTGTGCGGGATGCGGATCGCCATCTCGTTCAGTAGCATCGCTTCCATGTTACATTGTATGTGTCGCGATCCTCTCTTGGCTGCGCACTAGTCACACAAAAAACGCGCCAAAGCGAAGCTGCCGTGTCTACGTGCACTGCTCGGTATTATGGCCAGTACCTAAGCCCAGCAGAGACACGATCTCTGTGCAAGCCCCCAAGCATACGTATACTACTCGGATCCACAGATCGCGAATACTCGATATTAGCCGCTGCCGAGCGTCCGATCTGATTACGCATTTACAGTAGGATATCTACATACCCGCACGTGTACGTAGGTATACTTGTATCGTTTTAAATGCAGCTGACTAACAAATTATGACAATGACACGTAGGTATGACATGTAGGTGCGATCGGGGTTATTACAAATTCACCAAGTTCGACGCAAATAAAAAAGGGAGCTATTGCAAGCGGCTACTGTCCCGGTCGCCGTCTTCGTCCTGTCCCGCGTCCTTCTCAGTCATCGTCATCGCCGAGTCGAGGCTTCATTAGCATTTTTTTCATTTCACACGCAGCTGCACCGGCGCTCGAGCCTCGACCTTCCGTACAGCCGAGCTTATTCGAAGCGCGCAATCTCGTAATATCGTCGAGCTATTAGCTCTCTCCCTTTCTCCCCGCGCATTGCCACTCGGACACTGCCTCTGTGTACATGCGTTTATACCTACGAAGCGAATGTGTGTGTGTGTGTGTGTGTGTGTGCATAGGCGGAGGAACACCTGCGAGACACGGGGCCAGAGGCGGTAAAGCCCTGCGCTCGTGTGCGTATACCTTTTCGCCGTCGCCACCGCCGCCGCTACTGCTGCTGTCTTGTGTATACTCGCGCGCGCGTACGCCTCTATATTATTACGTATACATACATCAACGTTAAACACATCGATATGGGCTTGTATCATACATATACACTGCATCTATACGAACACGCGTAATACCCAAGTATTATATATCTCACAATATAATATAACATAATGTAACATGGTTGGCGGCGCGTCGCAGTAGTTGGCAGCTCCGCGCCTGCGATCCCCGCGCTCGTATTTAAGCTCGGTAATTCGATTTTCTCGGCCGAGCGTCATTAATCATCGCCTCTCTTGCACTCGTCCACTTCTCGTGTGCACCTTCTATACACACATGAACGAATTTTTTTTATTTTCATTTATATTTGTATGATTGTACGTCGTCTCTTGCTCGTATTCTCGACTCGAGCTTATGAACTTGTTACGAATGTTGTTATTGTTGTTATAGAGTATGTTTATGTGTACGCGTGGCCTGGAGTCTCGAGAGCCCGCCGAGCTACTGTAGGCGGCCACGCGGCCGAGCTGCACGCTCAAGTGCCTCGTTGTGCACGTAGCGCATTAAAAGACCATGAGCGCGTCCAGTTAGCCATTTATATACAATTTACAGTGGAAGCGAGAATAAATAAACATTCCGAGCGACTCGCCGAGCGTATACCTGTAGATGTGTGTATATTTATTTACAGGCAGGTAAACGGCTCGAGGGCGGCAACGACAAAAAAAGTCCCGGGAAAAGGAGGGAAATCCATCGGTGTACGCGTGTGCCAGTTCCGTACACGGCCAAGTGCAGATCGCCGCTTTTTTTTTTATCGCGGCTGCAACTCGGCTTCGTAGCGAGAAATTTCGGAAAAGTAGCTGTGCGTCGACGAGCTATGTGCATCGCTGTACAGCGCGGGCATGCTCGAGAGCGGGCTGCGCTGCTCGAGAGATCGGCTTAATTAATCGCTCTCGAGCTTATAAGCATTTAAATAGCCGCAGCCGCACGTGGATTGACTCGAGCCGAGGTATTTCCTATATATATAGGCGCTGCATACTCGGTCATCAAATCATTTAGCAAAGTGTAAAAAAAGAAGAAGAAACAGCCTCGACCATTATAATTGTGGCTGCGAGCGAGAGGATAGCGGGGAATCGCGAGAGAAAATTGGCGATTTCTATTCTGTTTATCCACGCGTAGACGATATATATATAAAAGTACTGTACATGTATAATAGGCGAGAGCTGAAATGGATAAAGGCTAATTAGGTCCCTTATTACGCAACGCGATGACCCGAGCTCTTCTCCTTTTCTCTCTTTCGTACGCCACGCGTGGCTAGGGATCGAATGCGCGCCGCATACATATGTACCTTTCGCGAAGGCTACGTACGTATAAGGGGGGTCCGCGCTGTGCACTTGTACACTCGTGCCTTCAAAGTCTATCAATGCGATAGGCCAAGCGTTGAGGCACATACACAATAATTACGGCTTTTATTACGTGTACCAGGAGCCTGACCGCTACTAGTAGTACTACACAGCTATCGCACTCTTCTTTCTAATTTAACAGCTGTATATATATGTGTTGTTGTTGCTATATATAGCTGGGCGATGTGTCGATGTGTAATGCGCGAGCGGGGCCGCTCTACATACTTTATCGTCCGCGACGAATAATTTCCAAGGCGCGCGCGCGCGGGGGCAATTACATATTGCAGCTATATGCACTCGGTCGGTGTGTGTGTGTTATACACGGGGGCCGCCCGCGTTTGCTCCGATCTTCTCTTTTCTCGGGCGCGCGCACTGTGTATAATTGAGCAGTGCACGCCCACCTCTATCGCCTTTAATTTCATTCTGGTCAGAGCTTAAATTCTCTCCTTCGACTCTCTTGCGCGCGCATACATATTTATTTCGACCTGCTGCTAGGCCTGCTGCTACCGATACTCTTGCACGTGTGTATTATTTAGCTGCATATTATACATACGCTGTATAAAAGAAAAGCTACTGTGTATATGTCGGAGGCTTTTCGTGCTGCTACGTGCCGGCACTGTGCGCGATCGATAAGACATTTGCTGCTGCGCCTCCTACATCCCTCGAATGTTTACTTAAGCGCGCTTAATTTCTTTAATTCCTTGCGTTTCACGCAATTATACGTGGAGAAAGAGAGAGAGCAAGAGAAGCTTGTTACCCGCTATCCGCGAGTTATAGTCGAGCGATTTTTTCTCGCGCGCCGTATAAACACGCTTACGCGCATTTAATATATTTTAATGCCTTTCCTATAAGTACAGCTTATAAAGTCGAGTGCAAAGATATGAGTATATATAGTGGCGCGCACAAGTTGCTCCGATTCTCCGACGAGCTGTGCGCGATCGACACGTAACGATAACGCTGCCCTATACACAGTCGCACAGAGTCGGATTCGAAGAGAGAGTCTCGGTCGCTGCGCACGCGGCTCGAGCTTATATCGCTCCGTCAGTTGAGAGCAGCACGAAAGAAGAAATACATGACATGGCTGTCGAGCGCCCAGCCAAGGATCTGCTCTTTTCTTATCTCCTTTGCTTATATTATATAAATATACTCGAGTCGAGCGAGGGAAGCGCTTAAACGTCGACGAGCTCGTCCACGGCTGGAGCTCGAGTGAGAACGAAGCCGCAGGTACTACAAGTAGCTACGGTAGCTCTCTATACATAGTGTTCCTGAAAGCACGAGCGAGGAGGAGGCTCGATGACGTGCCGCGCGCAGCTCAAAAAGCCGAGTAAGAAGCGGGGCTCGCGTGGCTCACGCATCTTCGACACGAGAGCGTCGCGCCTCTGCACGACCACGCCAATGTGCGTGATACGTGCCTCTATACACGTATTGCACCTACATGTAAGTAGGCAACAGTTCGACTGTACCGTACATTCGTGTGTGTGAGTATGTGCGCATATGGCCACGCGAACTCGCCACCGCTCCTGACCCACTGCCGATCTCGTACCTATATATTAAACGTGTGTGTGTGCAGTGAGGGCCGTGACCCCTGTGACCGAAGACTGTGTAGCGCACGATCGCCACGCGAGACAGAAAAAGTGAGAAAGAGAGGACGAGCTTGGAGTTTTCGAGCTGCGCGCGACGATCTATTCGATACGATTCGTCAGTGTCTCGAAGCGTGCGAATCGGCCTCGAGGTCTACGACAGCTCCTATTTTCCTTGTGAATTAGCTCGACGCCTGATGTACGTCACTCGTGCGGACGCGTCATAGGCTCGAGACTCGGACCGTGAGTTATTTGCAGCGGCCGAGAATAAAAATTGGGAAAAGTACGCAGTGTACATATAGCCCGGAGTTGTATACTCCTACTCGCAGGAACTCGCGGGGGGAATTAATTAGCGAGCGACCCCCCTGACGAGCCTACGTACAGCTCGGGACAGCGGCCGCATATGGCGTTTTATGTGAATATACCTGGGCCGCGCCACCTGGCCAAAACCGACGAGCTATTACCTATCGGGCGTCGCTCGAATATCCATCCGCGCAGCTTTACCTCCTGCGCCACGATATACCCTAGGCAGCTATACTATATACGAGCCTCTTCTTGCCTCTCTCTCACTTTTTATACGTATAGCCTGTAATTACAGATACACACACACATAATGACCCGAGTTCTAGGAAACAGCGTAGCTCTTATCGCGATCGTTTAATGCGTCAGATATATCGCAAATCTTCCTCGCTTCTCGATACCTATCGCGTATACATACAATACAATCAGTCAAATTATTATATTGTATTTGCGACTCGGTGCGTCGATATAGCATTCGAGCTTCGCAATGAGCAACCAAGTCGAGTGCACATAGGTATGCGGAACTTGGCGTAACGAGCAGATGTTTCGGCCGAGCCGAGACCAAGACGAAGAAGCCCAACGTACGCGATCGGATCGTTAGTTGCGCTGCGCGTCGTCTTTGCCAAACCACCACCACCGCCGCCACTGATTTTGCGGAATTTCGCGCTTGGTCAAGCGATCATCATCCTCGCTCGCCTCAAAAGGGCTTTTCATATACATCTCTTTTGTTGCTCTTTATCGATCATCGAGCTTCTCGTAAGAATTCCATGCGGCGCGTCCATATGGCCGTATTGAATACAGCGAGTACTTACGAGTTACAAAAAAATTTAAAAAAAAACGCATAAAACGAAGAG